CCCCAAAACCCCAAAACCCCAAAACCCCTGCTTATTTCAAAATTACTATAAATTTAACTTTATAGATGACAATCCTGCAAAGTTTAAAATTCTCATTGGATTTACAAATTTTTTCTTTAGTCAAACTCCTATTTCGTCAAAATTCAAAACAATAACTCTGAATTCAAGGCTTAGTAGATAAAAGGGGCTTAATCAAGGAAAATTCTTGCCTAAAACATAAGATAATTACAGTTATATTTGGATGTCAATCATTCTCCTTCAAATATCCCTGTTAACGCTTTCGCTTACCCTAACTTTTGTATTTTTATGTCAAAGATCTTTGAAGAACTATAGTTTGCTATCTTCATTACTTGAGAAACTCTGGTTTTCAAAGTCAGGTTACACCAAAATAAAATCATGAAAGTTTTGTTAAATTCTGACCAAATCACATGCAGCCTAGCTTAAAGTAAATTAGGGATGCCAATAAAAGGAAATTAAGTTTCTACAAATTGCGAGTTCTCATTACTAAGTTCTTCATTTGTTAAATCCTGACTAAAATTGGTTGCAGTCAAAACAACTGTTTTGAAAAGCTGTAAGACAATATGGCAATTATGTTCAATTGATTTCGAACTGGACAATAACAAGTCAAAGAGATCTTATTAGAGTCAGTCAAAGGATTCTGAAGGATAAAGCAAAATTGATCGTACCCTACTTGTTGACTTGATTAAGCAAGTGAGAATATATAATTAAGACAAACTGGAAATGATGATTTTGAGCACAATGTTAACTTTAAATCTAAAAGTTAGATATTTAAACAAGATTAAAAATCTCCGTTAAAGTCTACCTAACTTAAGAATGCTTGAAATACTTGGAATATACAAAGTACTAATGATTTCAAGAATACTGATCTTCTCTTACTGTTCCTTATCATAACATCAGAAAATGAATATACAACATAATTCTTGCGAAAGCACCTTCTAGCTCTTCTTAGATTAAACATTGCCTAAAGTTGAGATTCACTTGTCATGATAAAGAATGAAATTCTTCATCATCATAACTCATTCTTAAGCTACATTCAACCCAAAACGGTATAGAAACCATTATCTCGATAAAACTTCATCTATAGCCAAGCCTCATCTTTTTTCGACTAAACTACATGCCTAAAATATTTCCCTTGATTTTTTTGACTAAGTCCTAATCTTAATTCTCCTTCACGGATGCTCTCTTCAGCACAAAATTCCTAAACCTCAATTGAACCTAGTCCTAAAGAGGGTGGAAATAATCGGTTCTCTATAAATGCTACAGAATGTTAGCTAACCTATCTTTAATTCTAACATTGTCAAGTCGGCATCCCTTCAAGACAGCAGCCAGATATCTTCATTCCAAATTACAAGTCAAGCTAAAGTTGATCTGGTTCAACAAGTTTTCATATTCAATTTAAAAACCCATTGATTAGATTCTAAAACACTTCAGGCTCATATCCCAGTTAGTGTATTCAGCTTTGTTTCTTACCTCCAAATATATTTTGAAATCGTTGTTCCTAATAAGAATATGACCAAATCGAGGACTCTAGATAAGAGACCTATGCTACCAGATTAATATCCCCTCCCAATTCTACTAATCATAAGTAACCTTCCATCTGGGGTTAACTTATTTAAAAATTCTCTTAAAAATGTATTGGCTACCTCATTCACATCCACAGTTGCTTCCTCCCGTACAACCAGGGCAATCTTGCAGCAGTTTCACCTGAGAAAGCCACCACAGCCCAGTTTCCTCCTATCGGATCTATATTTTCAAAGTCTAAAGCTGCTGGTCATTCCGGCGCAATCCCCTCTGCTGGAACTGAAAGTCTGAAGGTCTACTTCACTGGAGCCCAAGTGAGACGGGAGGGTGGACGGAGGGCCAAGGAGTTTGGAGAGAGGGTTGGGGTTGTGATTTCGGTGGAAAGGGTGGAAATTGGGGTTAGGATGGTTATTGTATTTTCTAGTATATATGATTATATAGGAAATTTAAATAAAAATCTCAATTCTATTTAAAAGTATCAAAAATCAAACTTTTTAAATTTTGCTACGCCCCCTCAATCTTCCACAAACTATTTTCTCTAAACTAACAATCTCCTCCTCACTCCCTCTCTCTATTCTCTCCAATCCCACTCATCCAATAGCCAGTGGTCTCCTTTGCCCCTTCCTAGTTCTCTCCCAATCTGTGTATACTCGCTTGGACTCCTCCAATGTCTGTTCCAGCTGAGCTTCAGAGATTTTAGACTTGGCCAAAGATTTTGTGACCCTCAGCATCACGGCCAAGCACTTAGGGCCTGAGAGCTGATCAAGTTTGGAAGAAACAGAGGTTAGACAAATTAGGCTTAATGTCTTGTATGAAGAGAGTCTCAAGCAATACTTATGGAGAGATTTTGAATTCAACCTAATAACTTTGTCTTATCTTCTCGTTTGATTCTATCTCTGCGTTCTTGTCCACACTAAATTGTTTTAACCTTTTCTTCTTCAATTGTTGGACACTTTAAGCTTCTTTTATAATTAATTGGTACTTGTCGATATGTTCAGATTCCTAGTTTGAACTCGATTACCTAATAGCGAATTGTTTGAGTTCTTTAGGCTGGTGAACTTTATTTCTTAGAATTGGACCCAATTATTATAGAGATTTAAGATGATAATGATGTGTATGTAGGATGTGTCATGCTCTGTCTTGTAAACCGTAGTATCTTGTTAAACGGCAATCGAGGACTCACAATGTTTTGATATGAGAAAGGCAAATAAATTGTAGAATTTGGATGATACCATCAAAATTATCTCATTTTATCCATTTGTTATTAGAAGAATCTCAGGGATAACAAAAAAAGCATCAGAAGACAGTTTCAACAGATTATTAAAAACCCAATTCCTCCCAAAAAAACCATTCACTCTTTATTTTCTTAAACAGCACCTAAGCCCGACTCCACTCTTAACAAAAACGATAACTTCTTCCTCCCTGTATCTTCCTTAGCCATTCAAAGTGCCAACTCCATTTCACCAATTCCTCAACCTCCGCTTATTTGGTTTTAATAAACTAAATTCTCAGCCCAGTCAACCTCTAGATTTACCCAGGGGTTTTGGGGTTTTGGGGTTTTGGGG